TATATATATGTATATATATATATGTGTGTGTGTGTGTAGTATATATATATGTGTGTGTGTGTATATATATATATGTGTGTGTGTGTGTGTATATATATGTGTGTGTGTGTATATATATATATATGTATGTATGTATATATACACATTATAGTGTTTTGTAAAAAAATCTGTAATCAAGAGGGATGCCTCTTTAGTCAATCTGTGAGTCTGTGGAAAAACTGTTGGGATATGTTGAAAAGGATAAGACAGATACTAGACCACAAGAAAAATAATGCAAGAGAAGGAGCATCATGTCACGTGACGATGGAGCCCAGAAATGTACCCGACTGAGATGATAAGATTCTCTTTCTATTTGAAATCCGAAGTTTGAAGTCCAAAGATCTCTATAAAAGCAGACATTATTAGTTGAAGAAATAATAAGAAAGAAAAAGAGCAGAAAAAAGAAAAAACCAAAATAAGAAATTATGTCAAAAATTCCTCTGCAAAAATGCCTAGCATAAAAAAGTTCTCTATAATATAAAGTTTGTACTAAGTTTGAAGAAGTTATATTTCTGTAAGTTTTCGGGTTTTCCGAAAGGAAAAATTCACACCGTTAATTATGTAAGTTTTCATATTTAAGATCTAGTAACTTCCCATATATGTAAATTATGTTTGTTCATTTTGATATGTAAAAACTGTTTGATAGTTTTCTTTAACATGAATTTATGTTACTTAGTTTGTTAGTCTCTTAGCCCCTAAAAGCATCGATGGATTAACCTGTAAATTCCTTGAAATCTGATAGGCCAGGTTGAATGTTCTTAAGATATAACTATGAATGACCATATCCGAGATGTGGTTGAAGAAGACTGCAATTAGGAACAAAAGCTAAGAGAAAGAAATGAACAGTAATAATAGATTCATGAATGGACATAGTCCACAAAAAAAAGGAAAGAATACTAGAAACTTATACTGATAATTACATAAAGAACAAGGGAGTGAAAGAGTACTGAGTAGGACTTCACAACAGAAAGTTTTATCGAATATTTAACAAATTTGAAATAACCCCCTCTTTATTGAAATAACCAATATATATATGTTTGCCTGAGTGTTTCATAGATTTATCTAAAAGATTAGGAAAATATTTGATTTTGAACTGGTATTGTCTTTCTATAGCTTTAGAATTCTTTTTTTGGGAAAATATTTGATTTTGAATGTTTTGCTTAAATCATGGGATTATGTGAATTTATTGTTACTATCTTTTGTGCTACTTTTACCATTTATTGAAAAAATTAATTTTTTTATATAAATTTAATTAAAAAAACATTTTATACAAATTTAAAGTCAATGTAATTATATAAACTATACTCATGAAATGTAATAAAATAAAATTGGTTTGCCATGTATAAAATTTTCCCTAATTTAACTTACTTTTCTTAAGATATTGAAAAATATGCATTAACATATGCCTGTTAGTTTTTAACTAAAAATAGGGTGTGTGGATATTTTAATTATAAGGAAAAAGATTATTATACTAATTATATTAGGTAGGCGCCAAAAGGGGAGTTTGATGGCTCCTCAAATAATTTATTTGGCTGTTGTCCTCTAAACCACCAGAAATAAGAATTTCATCTCAACATTGACTTTCTTTTGCTTTTTTACACACGGGAATAATTGAAAATTTACAATTCATTTTTTTCCCCATATTCTTTTCTACATGTAATCAACATTTTATCCATTAACTTGTGAATTGGACAAAGAAATATGTCAATTTTGAGTCCCAATTCATTACAAAAGCTCCAATGATTGCGTTGTTTGAACATGATTTTTGTTTTTGTTTTTATTTTTCCTTTGATATAATTATACGTTTGCAATGGAGGGATGAAATTGGTTTGGCGCGGTGAGAGAAGATGAATTATTGAGAATTGTAGAGATTTTTGGGATATATTCAATTTAGAAGAAAGCAAAAAATGTCTATTCATCATCAGGGAAATGTTGATAGCAACAATGTTACAGGTATCATCCCCTTTTCAAGGTGCTTTAGTTTCATCGTTGCATTATTTGGTTAATATCCTTTTCAGAAAAGGGACAAGTAATTTAGGAACGACCAAAATAATAATGATAATGACGACAAAAGTAATTACAGAAAATGGGTATAATGAATGATGCTTGAAGCTTTTTGGCTAATCTGAAAGGGTTGTATCTAGCCTTGCAAGGGTTTTATTGAATTCTTGTTTGTTTTCTATATATATATATATATATATATATATTTTTATTTTTTTTTATTGAAAATCTTATGGAAAATATCTTGACCAACACTCGCTTGAGGCGTGTTAGATACGGTGCTTAAGGATATTATTTCATCTGGTATAGGTGTATCCCCACAAGCTCTTCTAGTATAAAATCAGGAGTTAGAAGATTCTTTAAAGATAAAACACTACACATCATAAATATAGGAGGAAAGATTTCTCGTAGTGATTTATATCCTTTTTCTTGTCAAGTTGAAGAAGAAGAAGGCTACATTTATAGAGAAAAAACACACAAGGCCAACACCTCCAATGGTAATAACAGAATCAGTGACATGACGATTAATGGGTCATAAAGGATAGTAATTGGAATGTTTAAAGCCAAAAGTTAAATCTCCTTAAAGGGCTTTCAATGTTGGAAAATGTAATAGAATTATGGCTAATCAAGGCTACCCATTCAACCACAATAAATATATATTTAATACTCATAAACAAGATATGAAGGAATGGGCCTAGACAACATTATGAATACTTCTTTTCGAGATATTAGAACCATTTTTCCAACTTTTTTGATGGTGAGGATAACATGTTTTTGACAAAAATGCAGTTTTCTCTTATTTATATTATTACGATAAATAAGGCTGAAAAGTCATCTACTTTTTCTATCTTTGCTACGGTTTTTCAATCTCTCCCTCATTTGTGATTCTTGATTTTCTGAACAAATTTCTTTAAAAAGAGTAATTTGTAATGAAGATCCACTTAATATCTCAGATTGTTTTGTTCGTGTGTTGAATTTGCTCAGTGATGATTAAGTGTCAATGAAAATGTTACTTAATACTATTTCTGCAGAATGTAGAAATAAGTTTTAATAGTTTCTCTCATTTACGCGTGTAATAATATCTCATGTTTATTTGCTAGGTTCTTGCCTTTACGAACTTCTGCAAATGGAATCATCTGCAAATTGTAGCGGTCATCAACCAGAAAGACGAAACCGTTCTTCAAGTATGTAACATCTTATTCTCAGCTTAAACTGAATGCTATGTAAATTAATCGTATTCCTTTATACTGGATAATTTTCTTTTTTGTTTTTTCAAGCACCACGTATACTTGTTGAGCTGCCTAGGACTAGTCAATTTCATGTTTGCGACTATATCAATTTGACCACCATGGAGAAATTGCTCCTTAATTTTCTTTTCAACACTGTTGAGTTTTATCATATGTTACATAGTTGTGTTATGTTGTTACGTCGGTTGAATTAAGTGTATACTTTCTCATTTTACATAATCGACCAAGCTTGACTTATAGATTGCAAGTGTTTTCTAGTAATCGATTGTTATTTGTACTAGGTCCTCGACATAGACTACAGAGGCTGTTGAGTGAATCTGGCAATAGATTCTGTGCAGATTGTGGATCTCCAGATCCAAAATGGGTGTAAGTATCACGGACATACAAGTTTTAAATCATATTTAAAGAATACTATAAGGCTTATCAATCTCTTTAAAAGCTTTTTTCGATTCATCTTGTAGCTGAACCTTTATTGTGCCAAGATATTTGAGTTATACACCATCTGTTACTGAAGCCTTTTACTTGTAGATGTGAACTTATCCTTTATGTTTGTACTTTCTGTATCTCAAATGTTTTTGGGAAATTGTAAAAGATTTAATCTTTTGTATAGCTAATGAGGTTTGACAAGATCTATAATCATCCAGACTTAGAAAAATCAGTTGTTTTACATAATTTTGAAAATGTTTCCTTTGTTTCCCCTCAGTACGTTGGATATCTTAAAACCAAGTACCTAACGGTTGGTATCTCTTTCTTTCTTTTTGCTTTGAAAGAATCATACTTTGAAGATTTTCCTTTTATTTTGAGTAATCGTAGCATAACCACCTGTTACATTCCTCTTTTCTATTCCTCGAGTCTTGAAAGTACTTGCTACATCTACTCTCTTTTCGTGATATGCAGATCAATAAATCTTGGAATTTTTATATGTATCAAGTGCTCCGGAGTACATCGAAGCCTTGGAGTGCACATATCAAAGGTTGGTTAATCAAACTTTTCTGTTTGTCTTAACTTCCATATATACTTGTTATTGTAGTATGTACTAGAATAGTGTTTGATATATTTTATTTTTTAGTTAACTCTATGGTCTGTCATGATTTAACAGGTTCTGTCAGTGAAGCTCGACGAGTGGACAGACGACCAGGTTGATAGTATGATAGAGATGGGTGGAAATAGTGCAGCAAATATGAAGTATGAAGCTGCCATTCCTGATAGTTACAGGAAGCCCAGACCCGAGGCATTGATAGAAGTGCGGACTGACTTCATCAGGTAACGTATTTCAGTAACCATCAGATATAGGTATATGGGACATCCTATTCTAAAATCGAAAATCCACTCTCAGGAGAAAATATGAGCTGCAGCAATTTCTAAACTCTGATGAACAGATGATTTGCCCCTACCCACCGTCATCGTCTTCACATTGCAATTCTTTAAGCCTTACTTGTAGTTTGGCTCTGGATAAGAGGAATTATGAGAAACAATCGACTGGACATCGTATCCATGGCATAGGACACGCATTTCGCAATAGCTGGCGACGGAAAGAATCTGAACACAGGAGTACCAAGAAAAGTAATTCAATGGTAATAATATATCTTCCTGTAAGGAACAAAATCTTCTACACTTATTTTAACAGAACCAGAGTGGGTTATAATTTTACATGTAATGCAAATTGGTAAGGAACTTGATGCAAATTCTTGTATGAGAAAATCAACTCTCAATTGTACCTTACTCCTGCATATTTTACCTATAGGCAGGTATGGTTGAGTTTATAGGATTGATAAAAGTCAATGTGGTGAGAGGGACCAACCTAGCTGTCCGTGATGTCGTAACAAGTGATCCTTACGTAATTCTCTCCTTGGGAAGCCAGGTAAATGTTATAAAGTATACTAGAGCCCATTTGGATTGGCTTTTGGCATTTCTAATTTATTTTTGTTATTTTAACTTATAAACAAGTAAATGTTATAAGCAAGTTTTATTTTTACGCAAATACTACAAACTGCTTAAACTATTCGGGACTTATGGTTTATTTGAAACATCCCTCTCCTACCACATGTTGATGACAAATGGCATTAAAATCCTCATACTAAACCCTGCTCTGAACTTCTTTTGGTTGCAGTCCGTCAAGACACGTGTTATAAAGAACAATCTTAACCCAGTATGGAATGAAAAGCTAATGTTGTCAATTCCAGAAAATGTTCCTCCTTTGAAAATGGTATGCATTTTTATTTTTATTTTTTGGTCTCTATTCTTCCCATTCTACCAATGAATTCTCTATAATAATTCGTAAATCTAGATCGGCTAATTTTCTGTCATTTGATTAGCTATTTAATGTGAAGAGGGAAAAGTATAAGAACGTACAAGAAAATGTAACATAAAAGGAACTTGAGATAGATAAGTTGCAATTGTTGGCCTAATTTTCTTCACATTTTGTCTTAATAATATATCTTCATGGTTTCGCAGCTTGTGTATGACAAGGATACATTTACAACGGACGACTTCATGGGGGAAGCTGAGATTGATATCCAGCCCCTTGTTACTGCAGCAAAGGCATCTGAAAATTCAACACTTAGTGAATCAATACAGCTTGGGAAATGGAAAGCAAGCAAAGACAACACTCTAGTTAAAGATGGCATGATTAGTCTAATAGATGGAAAAGTGAAACAAGAGATCAGTGTGAAGCTTCAGAATGTTGAAAGGGGAGTACTTGAGATTGAGCTTGAATGTGTTCCTCTCACGCAATAGCAGGTACCAGTAAAGGAAACGAAGTATGAGCATCTTAGCCAAAGTTGGAGCTTCTCATTACATTTGAGTTGGTCAAGGGCTTCAAACATAGACCCCATAGAAGAAGAAAATGCAATATGCAGGGAAAGTATACTGAAATTAGTTATACCATTGCCAGAATTTCTAGTCTGGATTAGTCGCAAAAGGTGAATTATGCTCGTTACACATGGCTGAAATGGTAAAGGGTCGACCAGTTGAATGGACAAGTGTAGACTGGTAGAATTGCAAGGAAATCCAGAATCACACCATCATTCAACTTTTTCTGTCATATTAGACTTTTGATATTGCTAGGGCAAGATAACATTTTAATGAACTGTATGTAACTGTTCTAAACAAAATAACCATTTGTCTGGCTTTATTAACGTTCATTAGATTACACCTTGTCATTCTCATTTTTTTTAGGCATAATACATATATTGGACCCTAAACTTGACTTCAAATTTAACTTTGATCTCCAACTTTCATAATGCACAAACAGACACTTTAACTATCCAACTTTTAAATAAATAAACACATGAGTACTACGTGGCAAAATACGTGTAGGACACTACGTAGGACAAAAAATTACATGTAGGATGACATATAGGACATGCGTGTCTATTTGTTCAACTTTATGCAAGTTAAAGTGTCTGCTTGTGCACACCCAAAGCTGAAGGGCATAAATGTAATTCAAAACTAAGTTAAAGGGCATATTTATGTATTATGCCTTTTTTAATTGATGATAATACAACATTTGAATATCAGGACAATAATACTGATCACCTTAAAACTTATAACTTAGTTGTGAATCTACTAAGTGTACAATTACTGGAAAGAACAAATATTACTTGAGGATACTTGATTCAACACCATAAAGTTCAAAGGGCTTTTGCTTCATTACGTCTTTGGCAGTAAAGATTTGGTTAGTCATTTTTGAAATTTTTGTAACTCCTTCTGATATTGGCTCTGACTCATTTCTGAATGAGTTTTGAAATCGGTTTTGAGTTTTGAGTTAGAAGTTGTGGATTATGTAAGTTTTCTGGTTTTGAAAGCAAAAGTTGTTTTGGGGTCCAAAATTCAGGGTATTATTTTAAGCTTAGAGGAGATCTTGGTTGAATTTTTTGAGGTTCCAAACTTCATTTAGCCTTTTTAGGCGTTATGATTAGTTTTTTATGACTTACACGGGACTCGGGTCAAGGAGATCTTGAATTCATATTTTTATGGTTTCATTATGTATGAAATATCGAGTATATAAGATTTGCATATATGGTTCGTGTGTACGGAGATCTCGAACGAATCTTCAAGGTCCATTCAAAGAATTTTTGTTGGCTGATGTTTCTGGTCATGCAAGCCTCGCGTTTACGAAACGTGTTCACTAAAAGTCTTTGATTTAGCAAAGTTCGGCTTGCAGAAACGAGACTAGACGTTTTAGCAGGGTTCGCTTAAGAGAATCAGGGCTCGCTTTAGCAATGATCACTTAACTGTAGTCTGATTCGCAAAAGCGAGACCCCCAGTTTAAGTGGGGTTCACTTAAGCCACATCTAAGGGTGATTTTTGGTCTTCCATTTTGGGGTTTACCCCATTTTGAGTTTTGTAAAATCCTTTGGAGGTGATTTTGAAGAAATGTTTTGTGTTTAAATAATTTGGTTAAGTTGTTGTGACCCTAGACTTCAATTCTCTTTTATCATTTATGTATTTTAACATGAAGACTTGATATTTTGATTGGCAAATGCCAAAGTTTTTCAAAATCTTAAGTTATAAATTGAAATGGTTATTGTGAACTGATTTTGATTCTTTTTCAAAATGATTTCACTAATGAGTTTCAAATGTCTTGATTAACATTTTCAAGTTAAATTTTTGGATTCAAATCTCATTTTTGGAATTGGGATTTTGAGTTAAGTTTATCTATCATATCATATCATATATTATTATAAGTGGGAAGAACTCAAGTCAAAAGTTGAAGTACAATTTTACCCTCTTATAAATTAAAATAGGAAAAGTACACAAGTATCCCCTCAATCTATGTCCGAAATCTCAGAGGCATACTTATACTATATTAAGGTCCTATTACCCCCCTGAACTTATTTTATAAGTAATTTTTCTACTCCTTTTCGGCCTACCTGGCACTAGCTTGACAAAAAAGTAAACCAACATTGGGCCCACAAGATAGTGCCACGTAGGCTGAGAAGGGGTAGAAAATTATTAACAAAATAACTTCAGGGGGATAATAGGACCTTAGTATAGTATAAGTGTGTCTCTGAGATTTCGGGCATAGTTTGAGGGAGTACTTGTGCATTATCCCTTATTATGTGAAACTATCTTGAGAGCCCAACGTTGATTGAATTTTTTTCAAGCTAGTGACACGTAAGCCAAAAAGGGATAGAAAATTACTTATAAAATAAGTTCAGGGGGTAAGACATTATTATCGTATAAGTGTGTCTATGGATTTCGGCCATAGGTTGAGAAGGTACTTGTGCATTTTCCCTAATCAATTTAATTAAAATAGTAACGACTTTTGAATTTTCTTAGATTAATTCCTATATATATATATATATATATATATATAAGTGAAACCTTTTAACTTTAAAATTAGATTACCATTTTACCCCTACTTTAAGTTAAAATGATATAAAAATATTTAATTTGTCAAATATTTGAATTCAGCATAAGTTTTCTCAAATATCTATTTGTATTCATAACCAATTTTTTATGCAACCTATAATTACAATATTTAATATCTATTAACCTCTCACAATTGAATTATTATTATTATTATTATTACTAATAATAATATAGTAATAGTAATAAAATATATATTATTTTGCACACCTTAACAAAAAGTTATAAAAAAATTCAATTAATTAATTTTTCAATTACATAAATTGAACGAAATTTTGAAAGTGAAAAAGTGGTACTTTAATGCCTTGAGTCATACATGATTAATTGCTTTAAATTAACATGTCATGCATTACTTTACCTAACTTTACAATTTCTATAATTTGTCTTTTCATTTTCTTAACTTAAATTATCAAATTCTAACACTTTTAAATTAGGATCCAATCTTTGTTAATATAACAATCAGTAGAATTTGAATGGTTCATTAATTATTCAAGTGTAGGTTAATTAGTATTATGTCAAAAGGAATTTCAAAGAACATAGAGAAACACTATATAAAGGTTAAAAATGATTTCCATTTGATTAAAGTTTTGTTTCTTCAATGAATATTTGACCTTCCTTCTAAGTTTCTTTATTCTCCCTTAAATCTTTCCTTTTGCATGAACTAAAGAAAATGGAAAATGGAGAAACATGTAGAGTTGATACATGTTGGAATTGAACAATTGTCATATCAATTTACATACAACATTCAATATTTATTGTATGATATATGAAGATCACTATGTCACGACCCAAAAATGGACGTGATGACACTCGTCTTATCCCACCAAACAAGTCAGCTATCACGCGCCGAGCTGCCCCCAAGAGGCAAACACGTAACCTAGGACCACAAGTGATCCCAAGTTAACCCTGCTGGAATGATCATGAGCATACTAAAGATAATAAATTATTGCAGAAGTTAAATCATACTTAAAATGAAAAGATGGGGAATACTCATATTCTATAACTAAGATATTTGAAAACAATGAGTTTAACACAAAAGAAATATTAACTCAATACTAAGCTGAATCTAACTATGTCTGGAAATAGCCTCTAAAATAGACTAGAAATACTGGGACAAGCCCATACTAAATCTAGCAAAAAATTGAAACTAAATGACTAAATACTGAAATGAAACTCATGACTGTTGTCCTCGGAGAATGAAGACTCACCACTGAATATGTTGAACTGGAGATCAGGAAATCAATCTATGCGTGATCTGGATGCTGAGAACCTGAACCTACATCACGAGAAGATGTAGCGCACATGTGCGTCAGTACTTGACAGGTACTGAGCATGTAGGATAGAGTAAAGTTGAAATAAAACATAACTGAACAAGCACAAAAAAATATAATAATCTGAACGTGGTGAGCTGATTTCTAAGCTAACTGGATGAAATGACTAATTTATAACATGCTGAAACTGAATACTGAATATACTGATAAATGGTCAATGTAGAGAGTCTGACTGAACTGTGGGAGCTACTAATAACTGATAATAAAACCATGTGAGCTTAATGTGGAGTCCGATGTATACGCCCCATCGAAAGGATCTAATATACCCCGCCAAAGGTATAAAGGCATGCTGACCTGATCACTAAACTAATTGCCCACAGAGGGGACTTACAATCTACTTGGCTAGTAGTTCTGGGACTATTGGGTACGCTAAACCCTAGTCCAACTTGGTATTATGCTACTCCCAATGAATTATGTAAGTTAACTGATTATCTCTGAATTTCTGTAAATACTGGATAGCTCGAAACTGAACATGCAAACTGATAATGCAACAATTAATCTGGTAATTATGCATTTATATCTGAAGCATGTATATCTGAAGTGTCTGAAATTTATATGACCTAGCATGTGTAATTCAAGAACTAAAGAAATACAAAACTAGGGTTCTAAAATTTATGCGATAATCTGAGTAATAACATGATAATCTGATTTGGAACATATATTTAACAAATTCATGAAATCATATCAAAGTTCTAGAACCCCTAGGTTTAATCATGATAAGAGAATCAAGAACTGACTGAAACTAAGGACACAATGGGTGAAAGGAACCCACTAATGAAATCTTACATACCTGGTGATGAAATCCACGGAAAAATACTTAAGTTTCTGGGCTGGAACTGCTGGAGCTTGTGGCTTTCTTGAACTAGGGTTCTTGAGCTTTTTTTCCTCTCTTGCTTCTAATTTTCTATGTTTTGATGTAATGATTTGACTTGGATATGTTTTAATTATGTTTCAAGGCTTAAACTGACTAAAATCTGATGATTTAGGGTCAAAACGACGTAACTTAGGGTTTAAACAGAGTGAAAAATGTCAAAAAGACCCTGGGAAGGTTGCTGTCGGGCCTCACGACGGCCAGGAATGACGGTCTGTCGTGCGCCCGACGCCCCGTCGTGAGTGCCTGTTCGACAGTCCTTTACTAAAATGGGCATAAATTTTTACTCGAAGGTCTGATTTAGCAAGATTGATGGATATGGAAAGACAATTCAATTATCTATCTGTGGGTAGGTAATGGGAGACCTAATTCATTTTGTGCTAAGAGTTATGATCATTTTAAGTTGACCCAACTGCATTTCCCCTTAACTGGCTATAAATTTTCCAACTATGGTCAGACCTACAGATCGTAGGTCCACCTACGAACCATGTTGGTCATCCATAGCTCTTGTCGGATAGTGGTTGAACGGAGTCTTGATCGACGGTCACGGACTATAGACCATCATT